GTGTTTACCACCTTAAATATGTTATTTTTGAAACTACCACAACCAGTTGGTCTTCACTGAACTCTATGTGTAAAATTTATGGCCGCAATATGAGTCCTCTCTCGTTCCTACCGGATAGGACTCATATTGACAATTCAAATTGTACACAAAAAGATCATTGATGGCCAATGTATTTTTTGCATTGACGTATTTTTTGTATAGTTACACTTAGCAGTAGCGGTTTATGCGCAAGGCGCTACTGCTATTTAGATTAGCTGTAGCGCATTTTGGCAAACGCGCTACAACTATCCCTACCTTATCCCCACGCGCACGACCGGCCCTCACTCACACTCTCACTCTCGCCCCCCGTGCCGATAACCGTCGTCGTGCGTCGCCGCCGCCGCCTTCGTCCGTTCGCCGCCGAGGTACTCCCCTCCTTCCATCCCTCCTCCCTGCTCCTCGCACATCCTCCCTCCGCCTGCGGCCGCCCCTCCCTCCTCCGCCGCCGCCCTCCTCCCTCCGCCTGCGGCCGCCCCTCCTCCCTCCTCCGCCGGCAGCCCTCCTCCCACCGCCCTCGACCTTGCCGCCCCTAGCTACCTCTCCGTCGCCCCCACCCCCTGCCACTAGTTAGTACTAGATTTAGTAGTTGTAGATGTTAATTTAGGGTTCATAGCTAGTACTAGATGTTGCTTAGTTAGTACTAGATTTTTAGTAGTAGTAGATGTTAATTACTAGTAGTGATGGTACTAGTTAACTAGATGTTGCTTAGTTAGTACTAGATTTTTAGTTGTAGTTGAACTAGTTTACTAAGTAAATTAATATAACTAGTTGAACTACTTTATTTTTAGAAAGAACTAGTTTTTTTCTATTTATAGTAAGTTTTTATTAGGAAGAACTAGTTGAATTAATAAAACTAGTTGAACATGTCATATTTGTTGTTATTTTTTAGTTTAAGCAATTATTCGGGATGTATTAGTGATAACTTATATGGTTTCTCAGGTGACCACCGTCGTCCCCGTCACCGACCCCCTCCGACATCCCCGCCGTCGTCCCCATCACCGACCCCCTCCGACATCCCCGCCGTTGTCCCAGTCACCGACCCCCTCCGACATCGAGGTGAGACCAGCCATATATCCTTGTATACCTTGTGTTGTTGCTCAAATAGGATATGTGGTTGTCCAAGTGTCCGTTCATGTTCAGTTTACATCTCCGAGTGGCCTATGTTTTGCCGGAGTGTTGATTAATTTCCGTTCCGGCAAATTTCAGTCGCTCGATATGTCCTTTTTTAGCAAAGGTCATGCCGGATTTTTTCGTGAATTCTGGCATGACTTGTGCTAGTATATGTACAAGTTTAATCTTTGAATTATGAACGTAAGAAATGTCGTACTCGGACGACGATAGTCTCCCGGGGGAGTGTATCTGGTGCCACGACGATCGAGGTATGTGCGACAGGTTCGTTCAGCTGGACGAAGATCAACGCTTCATCATTAAGCTCGAGGAGACCTTCGATTGTGAAACGGTACGCAACAACGACAAGTGTTTTTTTCGTAATTAAGCATGACTTCAACTATTTTAACGTCTAATTTTCATATTTTACAATTCGACTAGCTTATCCCATGCCATGCAAGACGCTATGTCTTGGAGAGTATGGGTTTTGAAGACCATGGAAATTTCGAAACAAAGAAAATACACCTAAGGACCCATCATAATATGGATTTTGAAGTAAACCTGTGCAATGCTCAGAGCGTAACCCATTTTGGTTGCCAAAATTGGGAATCACTTTGCAAAATGTATGGTTTTTATGAGGGTATGATTGTCACCATGGATCTTGGTGATCCTGACATCGAGCAAGACAATATGGACATTTGGGTCCTTGTTGATACGCTTCCGATTGTTCCGCTATGTGAGTTTCTCAAACATAGTTATTAACTAATTTATATTGTTTATTTCAAAATTGTTGATAGCTTATTTCCATTGACAGCTTATTTAAAACTGCTCTGATATTATCATTGTTTGAGAACTCTCTTCCAAGCTGATTGTGCTTTTGAATCCAAATGTCTAATCGTTGTCTTGAAGATAGCATGCTGCTAGTGGTAACAAGTGCTAGCGGGATGCCATGACACATGTCAACTATAGAAGTAGCAACTGCCTCAAGCTCCTCGGGGCACATGTAGCTGTTGTTTCTGTAAAAGCCCTTCTGCAGAGAAGGTCAAATGCATCAGGCTGACTCAACTGTTCGAGCCGAAGGCGGCTGAAGGCGACCGATGGGAGAAGAAATCATGGCAACATGTTCGTTCCGTGTTGTGATGACGATGCATCTTCCTTGGAAATTCTGGAGAGCATCATGTATATGGAAGTATACCTCTTGCTCCCTGACATCATCCAGTACAATAAAACATTTTTTTTCAAGTCTTTGGTGTATTTCCTTCTTCAATCCATACATGTACGTTTTGTCAGTGCCTCCTGCCAATGGCATCAACACTTCAACAGTATAAGTTTGTGGCACAGTGCTCCATGCATGTGCATCGAAATTGTTTTTTTCATGTCTATAAATATTTTAAACCAGGGTAGATTTTCCCAACCCACCCATGCCCGATAGTGTTATCACAGTGCTCTCGGGCTCTTTGGAGTAAAACCATTCGGTCAGCAATATAATGTTGTCTTCAATTCCTACTAGATATTCATCTTTGACAAATTCTGAGACATTGAGGCATCTTAGTAAGTTGGTTACGGACAAGCAGGGAGGGTTGCAACCATATATCTTTCTTGTTCATAACCAACAGAATCTCCTTCTCTACCTCAACTACATCATCCAAAATTTAACTGAAAAGTTTGACATAGTCTGGTTCTTTGAGGAAAACTTTTTTCAGGAATCCTTCTTTCTGATGTTGAAGAATATGGTATGATAATTTGTCGATTACATCTTCAACGTGATAGGCCAGTTTGCGGGCCTGTCCAATACAACTCTTGGCAACTTCGTCCGTGCCGTACACTGTGCCTATCTTCCCTATAACACCTCCTGACATTAACAGTGGCTCACTTATTTGCTCGACCTTCAACGGAAATTCCTTCCTATTAGTAACTTCATCA